CAAAAATGCAAATGTTATTGAAACAAAAATCCCACCCTAATTATGAAATAAAAACAAAGTAAATATACTATGCCTACTGAATGTGAAAAACAATAGTCCTGAGAATAATAAGTTTTGATTAAGTAAAGCAAAACAACACTAAACTAAAATAAAACCGAGCAAGTTGAATTCGATCAGTCTTCCTCCCGATCTGCCTGTGGCGGGCTATTGTTGGAATTCCGGTTGGGGCTAGCTGCATCAGAAAGTTGAAAAGATTTGAAGAATTCATTCATCCCATAACAAATTTGAAACTGTGGAAGTGAAAATGAACTGAGAAAGTGGTGAATTAGAGCCGAATTCTATTCAAATCTTCCATATTGAAAGAAAATTGAAAAGAAAAATAATCAATATACATAGTAGAATATAATGCCATGGTGATGTGGTAATACTGTTTTGCTCTTTATTTTTATGTTGCCATGAGGGACGAACCTTTATTCTTCTGATCACTCTGATTGATATGATTGCCAAACGTTTTGTTGATTTTCTCTTTTTGTTTTTCTGATCACTTGACTATTAATCGATCGACATGGATCTCAAAGTTACTTTAAGAGTACAGTTCATCTAAAATGCTTCCATGTGCTTCATTTCATTTTGGATAAAAATCTCAGTTGAAATGCTCGCATTCCTTTATCTGCTCAATGACAACAAAATTTTTCTCTATTTTCCAGGTGAAAAATAAACTTATGGTGTTAAATCTCTATAATTGCTGTAAACTGACTGCTATTCCTGATTTATCTGAGCAAAAATCCCTGGAAAAGCTGATACTCGAGCTTTGCGTTAATCTGAAAACAATTCACAAATCAATAGGCAGCCTGGACACTTTACGGCATCTCAACTTGAGGTCATGTTCGAGCCTTGTAGAATTTCCTAGTGATGTCTCTGGGCTAAAAAGTCTCGAGGTACTCATTATCTCTGATTGTTCACAACTGAAAAATCTACCATGGAATATTGGCAGCATGAATTCTTTACGAGAACTTCTTGCCGATAGAACAGCCATAGATGAATTGCCTGAAACTATAGTCCGGCTAACTTATCTCGAAAAGCTTTCCCTCAACCATTGCAAATCGTTAAAACGACTACCCAAGAGCATAGGAAAGCTTAGTTCCTTAAGGGAACTCTCTCTTCTTGATTCTGCACTGGAAGAACTACCTGATACCATTGGTTTTTTGGGAAATCTAGAGACTCTGAATCTGATGAGGTGTAAATCGTTAATTGTGATTCCAGATTCCATT